TTTTAATCTTACATCGAGGAAGAATTTTTGATCAACATAGGTAGGCAAAAAGGTATTCAGGTTTTACCCATACCTTTAAAAATGTGATTAATAATCTGCCATTCAGCAAATAGCTGAGTGGTTTCTAATAATGACCCAATTGACTTCCTACACAAATTAATAATTATCAGCTCATATTCATGTCGCTTTTGAAGGTTAGCAAAGGACTTTCCATGTTTTACCTCATCTGATGCCTCCATGAACTAATAATAATAATGCTTATTATTATTCCTATTTTACAGACAAGAAAAGTAAGGTTCTTTGCTGGACCACATTGCTACAAAATATCCAAGGTAGAATTTGAGCTCAGGCCACCCCTGACCCAAAAACCAACACTCTATCCACTCTCTTAGCCAGTTTTTCTAGATGTGAATTGTTTTATGTTGTATTTTTCTGCTCTCCCTGTAAGTGATTATAATTGAATAGTAGCCGAGATTAAGAAATTGTTCTTCCTCTTTGCTCAGTCCCCAGGTCATTTGGGAATTTTGATGCTACATAATTATGCAAATTAATATCCGATATTTTTTACCTCACTTTTTTTGTTCATGCCAATTTCTGTCAGGCTACTAAGACAAAATTAAGAAATATTTATTATTTATTCCTTCCAGTATTCTCAATAATTCTTGAGTTATTAGCCACAAATTACATTATTACACACTTTATCCTGGGTTTTTCAGATTGTTAACTCAAAAGATGACAATTTAATTAGCAAAATAGATAGGCTTATGGGAAATTTTAAGAGCTCAAAATGTAGACACTGAATCAGAAAGGCCTCAGAAGTCTTACTGTGGCACCCACCATTCAATTATTTGTATGGCACAAGATTCAGAAAAAAAATTAAAATGGGCATTTTCCCATGATGCAATTTTTAAATGACAAAGGAAAAACATGATAATGGGTAAAGACAAGGAGAATTTTTGCCAGGCATTTCCCTTCACAAGGGCTGTGACCAGTAGTGGAAATGAAGAGCATGTATGGGAACCCGGTTATGAGACCTCCCAGCTCTACCAATATGGAAGTCATTTAACAGTTTTCAACTAAGTTAATCATAGTACAGCAGGGTTCCCAGAGTAAACTATTTCCACGTCCAGGGAGGAGTAAGTAGACTCTTCAGGAGATCTGGCATCACGTAATGGACTTCTCTGATTCTGAGATTCTCTTTTCCAGTCTCTTATTATGCACTTGCTGATCTAGTCTTTTCATTATGTTTTATCTTCTTCCAAAAAGTACAAATTTCACCTGCATCATTTATAGATCTCACCATACTTAAGCAATAATGCAGTTTTCATGCAAAATAAGAGTACTGACTAATAAAAAAATCATAATTTCATCAAGAATTTCATATTTCTTTTCCCTGAATAAAATAATTTCTTAGAGGAACTCTCCTCTTTTGAGATTTTTCTCCATTTTTAGATCATAAAGTCACATTCCTTAGAAACTTCTTTGATGAGGAATGTTTTGTTGAATTTTTTTTTTACCCAACAGATGTTTGGGTAGTTAAAATTCCTCATGAGTATGGTATCCTGTGGTTTTCACAACCTAAGTGCTGCCCCAGGAGTTTCGCTGCTTGTTGTCTCCACTCCTGGTGGTCCATAGGAAAGGCATATTAGATTTGTCCTTTCTTTCCATCCTCACTTTAAACCCATGCTCTTTTGGGAGCTGCGTCGTTCTTCAGCCTTACAAATAACTATTTCATGTGCTAGACAGATTCTCAAATCCTACTTTGTTACACCATCTACCATAAGAAATTGCTTTTATATATGGTGGCGAGTCATTAAAATAGGCCTAAAAATCAAACTGCATAAAATTCTGCTAGCTTTTGTTATTTGTGATAAGGAATTTCTATCATGTTGTTCTTGGAGAGGTGGTGGGGTTAGCGCATGGAGGATAAATGATATCCATGTAGAGTTTGTGTCTATATATCATAAAAAAGATAATCACTTAGATAGCAGGAGAAAAAATCCATCTTTAGCCCACTTGTCTGCATTGTGGGGTGAAGGAAATAGTTTTTACCTCAACTAAATAATACTTTCATTTTCTATTCCACTTTAAAACTGTAGAAGCAGACTGAGTAGGAAAGTACAGGGACTTATGCACTGGACAGAGAGTCAGATGACATACATTTGACTTCTAGTTTTCCCACCTATTGACTGTATGATCTTGGGAAAATCACTTACTATCTCCAAGTCTCAGTTTCCTCATCTCTAATGTGTCTAACAGCAATAATATTATCTACTTTACAGTGATGTTGTGAAAGTCAATGAGGTGGTGTATGTGAAGCATTACATAACTCGATATCTTTATTTTTATTGAAATTCAGTATCTAAGTTTGTGCAATAGATCTTCAAATAGTGTTTTCCTCCTGAATATATTGATTTCAATTCACAAATTCTTTTTAAAAATAATTTATGCTATTTCAGAATTTTGTACTGTGATGGCTTTTCCATTGAAAGTGAAGAGCCATGTAGTATAATTATGCAAAAATAGTTTTTTTTCATCTAGTCAATGTTCTATACCAGTTTTCCAAGCAGGATGTTAGTTCCTGGGCTACATAGATACATATCATTCCAAATTCCATATTTCTGCTGTTATGAGAAAAGTTATGTACTGCACACATGCTTCCTAAGGGATTGGCCATAACTTTGACCTTGCCATCACCTAAAATATTGTTTCCTTGTTCAAAAACTCCAAAATTCTTATATCTGATTATCATTTTTGTCATTACATCTCTACCTATTCCTTACTACTCTGAAACCTTAAATCCTTCCCATGACCTCCAATTCCCCTACTCCTCAGTGCCTTCCCAGACCATGCTCCCCTGTACTCACTATACCCTCCTCCCTTCTCAATCATGACCACTTGGTGAATTAGGACAACTTTACACTATCCTCTACTATCTAATGCCTTGTTCTCTTGTCCTACTGCCCTTCTTAAGGAATCAATTATCGTTTGTATGTCGATGATACCCAGATCATATATCCAGCCCCAGTCTCACTCCTGGGCTCCAGGCTCCACTTCAACAACTGCCTATACATTATGAACTGGATACCCCATTGGCATCTCAAAAATAGTGTTTCTAAAATAGAATTTATTATCTTTTTTCCCTAAAACTATACCTTTTCCAAACTTTCCTATATTTTTAGGGGCATTTCTTCCTAGCTTTGTAGTCAACCAGGTTTGCAACCTTTGTGGCATTCTCAATTATTCACTCTCTGTCCTTCTCTGCCCCTGCCTTTAGTTGCCAAGCCTCTGGTGCAATCTCTGTCTCTTCAATCAAACAGCTACAACCCTAGTGAAAGTCCTCATCAACTCTAATCTGTACTATTGCAATAGCCTTTGAATTGGTCCCCCTACCTCAAATCTTTCTCCTCTCTAATCCATCATACACATGGTCACCAAAGTGATTTTCTTAAAGCACAGATCTGACCATTTCACTCCCCTACTCAGTAAACTACAGTGGTTCCCTATTATCTTAAGAATCAAATAGAAATTCTTCTTTATTATTAAAAGCCCTTCACAAGCTGATTTCTTATCTTTCTATTCTCTCTCTCTCTGTCTCTCTCTCTCTCTCTTACTCTCTCACCTCTCTCACTCTCTCTCTCACTCCCCTCATTCTTTCTCTCCTCTCTCTCAGTCTCTCTGTCACTCTCTCTCTTACTCTCTGTCACTCTCTCTTACTCTCTCTCTCTCTCCTCTCTCTCTCTCCCTCTTTTTCTCTGTCTCTGTGTGTGTCTGTGTGTGTGTGTTTCTCTCTATACACACACACACACACACACACACACACCACTCTCTTCAACACATTCTCTGATCCACCCTACTTTGCTGTTCCTGATATGACACTCCATCTCCCACCTCTCCACGCCTCTGCACTAGCCTTCCCCCATGCCTGGAAAGCTTTCCCTACATAATTCCCACAGTTAGAATCCCCGCCTTCCTTCAAGACAGCTCAAACACCATTTTCTGCAAGAGGCTTTTCCTGGTTCCTTCCCTGTCTCAACCCACCCCCAGCTTCTATGGACTTTCCTTCAATAGAGAGGTTAAGTGATTTGCAGAGGTTCATATAGTACTTATGTGTCTGAAGTAGAATTTGAAATTGGGTCTTTCTGACTTCCTCTCCAGCACTCTATCCACTATACCAGTCATGTCTAACTTAAATAGAATCAGATCCCTGCTGCCATATCTTGACTTAGAACACCCAAAATTAACATTATCTATGTTGTATTGTATCTTTATTTATTTTTGTTAAATTTTTTCCAATTACATTTGAATCTAGTTCTGACTGCATCCAGGAGTTTTATCAGCCCAGAGTTTGACACCTCTTTACTACAACCATCATGCTTCTTCTTCTTCTAGTTCATACTATGAACTGTGATGAATAGTATGAATAGTTCATACTATGAACTGCGATGAGTAGTATGAATAGTTCATACTATGAACTGCGATGAGTAGTATGAATAGTTCATACTATGAACTGCGATGAGTAGTATGAATAGTTCATAGTATGAACTGTGATGAATGAGGGTTGGTGATGGAGACAGAAAAATTTCTTGAAAATAAGAGTAGCCTAGGTAGATTGAACTATAAGGGCTTTTCCTCTAAGCATGTGCAGATATTTCTTGCCTGGTTTTAGTTCAAGAAAGAATGAGGATGACTCATTGATGGGTTATGATCAAAAGTCTTCTATTAGGCTGCAAAGCAAAAAGAACTCACGACTCAGGTTGCTGAGCAAGAACTGTGAGTACATACATAAGGGGTGGTCCACCCATACCTTGTGGGGTTTTTTCCCTCTGTGGCTTTGAGGAAGCAGAACTACTTAGAGTTTTTGTCCTTGAAAAGAACACCACTAGTGGAAACCTTAATGCTTATGTTTTAAACAGAGGATGTGTTCAATGTCTTTACACAGCTATCTAAAATAAAGATCAACATGAAAATACTATAGTATTACCCAAGCTTTTACTTACGACCAGGGAGAGTTTTTGTGGAAATCCAATTTGAAGTATTGCCATAGCCGGCATTGGTACTAGCAGCTACCTGGAATCGATACCATCGGAACTTCTTCAGTCCATATATGGTCTCCTCAAGAAGGTCAGGTTCATACAGGTAGTGGTTTTGGTTTTGTTCAATGCACGCCTCAGGATCCCAGTCATTACACTGTGTAGACCTTAGTTGGATGGTAATCTTGTAGTTTTGAAAGTAGCCAAGAATATCATCCGGTGTTACCCATGTCAAAGTTACACTAGTTGCTTGGACATCAGATAAAGTAACATTTCTGGGAGCACTGGGAACTAAGAAATCAAAGAGGGAAAAAAGTTATTAAGTCATTTAAATCACCAAACTTTTTTTTAAGTTACATGACAAAATTGAATTAAACAAAATGTAAACGGTTATATCTTAAAATGAAGGGACATGCTCGGGAGACTGAGATTCGGAGGCTATTTCTTAAGTTTGTCACTTGGTACTTCAATGGTTCCGTGATCTTATCAATGTGGCCATTCATTTCAGTGGAGCAGATTGCAATTCATCCATATCTTCTCTTTGAGAGATTATGCATTATATCTGACTTCAAATGGACTAAGTCCTCCTTACTTTTGATTTCTCTGAAGATGAAAAGGTTCTTAGATGAAAGAAACAAAAGAAAAAACAGCAAAAACCAAAGAAAGAGTTAGCTACTGAAGCAAAAATTAATTCTTCACTTATATTGAACGAGGGATGACTCAGTCTTGGAACGGGAGAATTCATCACATCTACTTCCAGCATTATCAAGAGTTATCACTGTGCTAAATTATTAATAGATTCAAGTTTAAAATGGAAAGTTTTCAGGAGACCCTTCAGGGTGTTGGCAGGCAAGAGAGTAGAAAATTAAGATACTGTGAATTGAACTACTACTTTAAACACTTTAAAATGATCTGTTTGCCTTTTGCGGCAAAAAGCTGCAAAGTCTCATAACCACGCAACATATGGAGATGGCACAAAATTTTCATTTTCTGAAAAAGACCTTATATGTACTTATATTTCAATATAGTGATAGATACAAACACATTTCATCAAATATTTGTAGGAAATATATTACTGCTTTAAGTGTAGTAAATGTGATTTAAAATAAGAAAAAGCTACAAGAGGATGATTACTAAGTGAATCTAAGATAAATTTTTATAGCTATGCTCATGTAGATGTGCAAGTAAATCATTATTGCTAGGAATATATGGAAATTTTAAATCTCATCTAATCCCTCAAGCATGTGGTTTAGTTCTTTATCAAACATTTTCATCTAGAACAGGGATATCTACTTCAAAACTAGGGACTGACCCCATGCAAATTTTTGGAGCTGGTCAGTTACACTCCCTATGTCTTTAAAAACAATTTTACTGTAGTGTTTTCATTTTCCATCACCTTTATTTTCCAATCTCTCCCTGTCTCTCTGTCTCTCTGTCTCTCTCTCTCTCCTTCTCTACCCAAAATGTTTGTTACCCCTCTAACAAAGAGTAAGAAGGCAATAGAATGGGGGAGGAGACTTCACTTCAACCTGGGTAATATATTTCAGCATATGCAATGATTTTTTACCCATAGTTCCCAGCCTTTTAAAAGAAAGGAGGAGGGAGCATGTTTCTTCTTTGGGACCAAGCTTGGTTTCATGAGTTGTTGTTGTTTTTGGTTGTTCTTTTCATTTACATTGTTGCAGTTATGTATAATGGACTCCTGGTTCTGCTTATTTCACTGTGATCAATCCATATAAGACTTCCTGTGCCTCTCTGTATTCTTTATATTCATCAATTCTTATGGCACAGAAATATCCCATTATATTAAGATACAGTAATAATATATCATTACACTCATGCTATAATTTGTTTAACCATCCTCCACTTGAATGAGTCTACTTTTCCCCCCAATTATTTGCTACTACAAAAACTACTCCTACAGATATTTTGTTGGGTAGGGAGCCTTATTACTGCCTTTGATCTCTGGGTCAAAGGATATGGATATTTTATAGGCTCCTTATATATCTGAAATACCTGCTATGTCTTCTCCTGAATAGATATATCTGCACATATGCACTTTTGCCTTAAAACTCTGCATTTATGGGAAAGATGAAGCAAAGAAAATCAACCAATAAATGAAATTATTCATCCAAACTATATGCTAATTCAAACTATGAAACATAAAGAACAGTGATGCAAAAACAAGACAAAACAATAAGTTTAGAAAGTATCTTTAACAAAAATGTCAACAAAGCATCTTTTATAAAACTTTTCACTGACTCATAGTACACATGTATCACAATATACATGTTATTAGCCAATGATGAGACAGATTAAAATAATAGAGAAGTAATATTCATAAAATAATAAATATAGAATATATTTAGTACAGTAGTTAATTATTTTAGTGTAACCCAGATCAATTTTATGGCTGTCAATGATTACTCTAGTTTCAGTCAATATTTTCATATATTTATGCAGATACTTCATAACTATTTCTTTCTGAACCTGTGATTTTATTGTAATAGAGAACTGCTATTCTAGAAATTCCCCTTACCAGTTCAAATCACTAATTAGTCTGTAACTTGGAGACTTAGAGAGCTGTCTAGGACACTGAGAGGTTATGTGATTTGCGCAGGGTCCCATAGCACTATCTACATCAGATGCAGAATGTGAACTCAAGTCTTCTAAAGTCCAAAGCTCACTCTCTATCCACTATGCAGTACTGTCTCATATATAATAATGCAAATCTTAAAGTTCTATATGAGTGTTAAATAATACTATTCTTCTCTCATTCAATAATAGCACTTATAGAGAGAGAAAAAGACAATCTCTATCAGTTTGTTTGTTTTACTTTTAGTCCTAGTATTTTTAGTGGCTTACAATAAGCCAGAGTTGGATGAGACCTTCATATAAATTCCTATCTCTGTCTTCACTTGAACACCTGAATTTCTGAAAGGAATTTTAAAACCACACGAACAGTATAAAGATTTCAGAGCATAAAGCTGAATGGCTATGTAGATAATAGGTAATCCTACATGTAAGTACTCCCTCTCAAATTCCCCTCTTCAAATAAATTAATGTTAAGACTATCCCAAGATTTAGTCATTAGAAAAACTTGAAAATAAATGGTGACTATATCCATTCATCTATTATTCATTTTTAAATTCTGTTGGGATTACAAAGATGATTATTATGGTCATCAAAATAATATTGTCATTAAACATACTGTTATGAAAATTTAAATTTATTATTTCCCCTACTAGATTTTCTTTCAAGGAAGGGGCTATCAATTCTCCAGCACCCACCTAGCATAGAACCTTGCACATATAGTCAATACCCATCATTCACAGTTTAACTTTCCTGACTTCTAGAATTCATTTTCGCTTTCTCGGCAACCATGTACATTCCTGGCTATGCACATTCAAGGAAAAAGTGAAAGGCACAATGTGTAAAAGTTTGTGGAGTGGCTGGTGTCCTATGAGGTGCTTCACTGGTCTTGTTTACCCCACCACTGTAGAATAAAGAGCTTCCTGGAAAATAGTATTGCAGAAACTAGGCATAGACCACCATATTACACCATATACCAAGGTAAAGTCAAAACAGGTACATGATTTAGATATAAAGGCTGATACTATAAGCAAACTAGGAGAGCAAGGAATAGTTTACCTGTCAGATCTATGGAGAAAGGAAGAATTTATGACCAAACAAAAGATAGAGAACATTATGAAATATAAAATGGATCATTTTGATTACATTAAATTGAAAAATTTTTGCACAAACAAAACCAATGCAACCAAGATTAGAAGGAAAGCAGAAGGCTGGGAAACAAATTTTTTACAATCCGTGTCTCTGATAAAGGCCTCATTTCTAAAATATATAGAGAACTGAGTAAAATTTATAAGAATACAAGTCATTCCCCAATTGATAAATGGTCAAATGATATGAACAAGAAGTTTTCAGATGAAGAAATTAAAGCTATCTATAGTCATATGAAAAAAATGCTCTAAATCATTATTGATTAGAGAGATGCAAATCAAAACAACTCTGAGGTACCACATCACACCTATCAGATTGGCTAACATGACAAAACAGGAAAATGATAAATGTTAGAGAAGATGTGGGAAAATTGGAACAGTTATGCATTTTTGGTGGAGTTGTGAACTGATTCAACCATTCTGGAGAGCAATTTGGAAGTATGCCCAAAGGGCTATAAAACTGTACATACCCCTTGACCCAGCAATACCACTTCTAGGTCTGTATCCCAAAAAGAAGATAAAAATGGGAAAAAGACCTACATGTACAAAAATATTTATAGCAGCTCTTTTTGTGGTGGCCAGGAATTGGAAATTAAGGTGATGCCCATCAATTGGGGAATGAATGAATAAGTTGTGGTATATGAATGTAACAGAATATTATCGTGCTATGAGAAATGATGAGCAAGGGAACTTCAGAAAAACCTGGAAAGACTTATATGAACTGATGCTGAGTGAAGTGAGCAGAACCAGGACAACACTGTACACAGCAACAGCCACATTGTGCAATGACTAACTTTCACAGGCTTGGCTCTTCTCAGAAATGCAAGGATCTAAGATAACTCCAAAAGATTCATGTTGGAAAATGTTGTCCACATCCAGAGAAAGAACTATGGAGTCTCAATGCAGATTGAAGCATACTATTTGCTCTTTTTTTTTTTGTTGCTGTTGTTTTGTTTTGTTTCTTCTTTCTTGTGGTTTCTCCCATTGGTCCTAATTCTTCTTTACAACATGACTAATGTGAAAATATATTTAATATGAACATATATATATACACACACATACACACACATTTATATACATATATACATATACATATATGTATACATATACATATATACATACATATATACATACACATATACATATATGTGTGTGTGTGTGTGTGTGTGTGTGTATATATGTCGAGCCCATATCAGACTGCACATCATCTTGGGGAGGGAAGAAGAGAGAAAGGGGAAGAAAATTTAACTCAAAAGCTTATGGAAGTGAATGTTGAAAACTAAAAATTAATTAATTATTTTTTTTAAAAAGAGCTTCCTGTGCATTCAGAGTGCCAGAGGTGATACTGGGACCTCACCAGTCTTGTTATCTTCCAGCAACAGCTACTGAAATCCCACCCACCTATCCCTTGGTTTTCAGAAGGCAGCCCAGGTACAGAAGTTTACAGCAGTAGAGTATTGTCAATTTTATTGAGATATTAGCACAAAAGGTCACAGAATTCTAAGGAATTACTAATGAGAAAAAAGTGTTTTGCATGTTACTAATTGTATT